GAGGAGGAGGGGAGGAGGAGGGGAGGAGGAAGAGAAGAAGAGGAGGAGGAAGAAGAAGAAGAGGAGGAGGAGGGGAGGAGGAGGAGGAGGAGAGGAGGAGGAGGGGAGGAGGAGGAAGAAGAGGAGGAGGAGGAGGAGGAAGAGGAGGACAAGAAGAGGAGGAGGGGAGGGGGAGGAGGGGAGGAAGAGGAGAAGAAGAGGAGGAGGAAGAAGAGGAAGAAGAAGAGGAGGAGGGGGGGAGAAGAGGAGGAGGAGGAGGAAGAAAAGTTTCCAATGTTTTCTGCCAGATTCTCACAAAGAAATTCAATGGGGAAGCCGGCAGGAAGTCAGAAGGAGCACCCGTTGCTTCTGTTCTTCTGCCCATCCTTGGCCATCCCCTTTCTCTACTCAGGTAAGGAAATAACCTCTGCAGCCCTGACCCAACAGGCCCAGCTTGTCTAGCTCCTAACTAAACACCTCCCAGAACTTCACCCTACCCCGTTAGCCTCCCAGCAGAAATTCTTTCCTTTTGGCTCGGAAAAACAAATTCGCCGGAAAGTTCCAAAGCCACGCTTCTTTCTCTGGCGTCACCCTGGAGGACCCGTAGCCTCCTCCCGGACCGAGATCACAGAAGATAGCTCGACCCTCCAAACGCTGGCGAGAGATAATCAGACTGTTTCTCGTCTGTCGTCCAGCCCAACGGCCCGGCCTGCCTTTGCAAACCGCTAGCAACCTCTACTACCTCCTTTTCCCAGGGCTTGTAAGCAGCTGGCATTTCCTCTCATCCTGCAGGACTGGAGCCTAATTAAAGGCAGGTCTCTCCCGAGCTGCCTTCGGGTTGCTAAGAAACCGCCTCCGTAAGAAGCCGAGGTCTCCGTCCAATCCTAAAAAAATAATTATCCGGTCAATGGGGAACACGGGCGAGGAAAAACGGCTTTTAATGTTGCCTACAACACAGAAGTCTTTAGCGGGTTTGGGCCTCTCCTCCTGACAAATGAGCTCAAGGCCAGCCGGATGAAAGAAGGAACAAAACCGGCAAGCGAAACCGTGTGCGTCTCGCACAAACAGGGGGAAACGGGAATGCCCATTGTGCGCAGGGGTGGGCTTCAAATGTTTTAGCAAGGGGTTCTCTGCCTGGTTGCTGGGTGGGCGTGGCCATGGTGGGTGTGGCCTAGTCAGCCTCCTGCACCATGGCGGGGGGGGGGGTTGCCCTCCCCAGGCTCCGGAGGCTTCCCTCAAACCTCCAGGAGGGGAAAAACAACCTCCCGGGCTCCGGAGGCTTCCCTC